CATCCACAACTTCTGCTGAGCCCCAGCTGTGCCCCTGCCCATGGGGCACCGAGGAGCCTCAGTGGCGCCTTGCCCATGGCCCCATTGCCCAGCCCTTGCACCCTGGGGGAAAAGCTGCCCTGCTCTTGGCAGGGGTGAGCCTGTGGCTTGCAAAAATAATTTTCCTGTTTCCACTGTCTTTTGAAAAGGTAATTTCCTTCTTACTGTCAGCGTAAATCCTGTAACAAGGTTAGAGACCAGTAAATAATTTAGGAAGCATTCTCCATCTAGAGTGCATCAAATACTAATATAGAGAAGGAGAAATCTCTGCACATCAGTTACAGTAATTGGTGGAAGGCACCAATCTGGGGGGTAATGAGCTCCATTTTTAAAGCACAAGGAAATTAGATTCTTATAAATGTCAAACGCAGTTACTGTCTTTTTTCCTTGAAACAGAGCTGGGCTGGCTGGAGCCCATTGTCTCTCAATCAGCTTTGCTATGGATTAGACACATCCCGTCTCACACCAGGAATGTGCTTATTAGAAAAAAATATCACTACACAAAGCATACAAGCTTTAACACTCAACCGATGTACTAATGGGTACATGTACAATAAAACCCAATATCGTGTTACAAACCTTAAGCTGACCTGAGATAATATGATACAGAAATGTTAAAGGATATGGGTGAGTCTTGTTTGCTACAATTCTGACTACCTGGAATTTTAGTTTACAAATAAAGGACCTGAAGTGAGGGAAGGTGGCTTTTCCTCTTGGCTACTTATGCAAAAAGCAAGCAGTAAGTCCTCTTCATAGTGAATATGCTTGTAATCAGGTCATGTCCAAATACTTCGTGTATTTTACTGGTGTCTCCTGGGTAACTGTGTCTTCACAGAGGAGTTGCTCCATCCACCTTTTTTCAGTTCTCTGCTGGAAAAAAAGGCAAGAATTTGTTCATACATCAAAGCTAGCTCTGTGAGTTAATCTTTCATTCATTATAAAAATCTCACCAGGATGTGTTAAGACTCCATGCTTCAGAAAAACAGCTATCGGTTAATTGAGGATAGAGGGCTTTGTGAAATCAAACCCCTTTGCTGCATCCCTATTTCTGACTTCTGACTTAAGGATCACAGCTACTTGACCCTCCTTAGCTAGAGAATGTACCTTGTTTTCTCTCTAGGGTAGGAGCTCTGTTGGGAAGTGGCACTATCCTTCCTGATGTGGGAAGGCTTAAGGATGGAGTCAAGCTCTCAATTATCTTTTGCAATGATGAAACAGACTCAAGGTACTTCTGTGGACTTCACCACACACTAACCCAAACTCTGAACGATGCAGTATGCTGGACATGCTGCACTGGAGACCTTGCTCTGAACTGCTGCACAATGGCTTTAAAGATGATGTGGTGGGGTAATGCGAGTCTCTGGTATCCCCTCTGCAGGAAACTCAGCTCTGTGCAAAAACAGATGGGCTGTTCATTTTTGGTTTTGTTTTTCTGGAATCCTGTATTTACAAGTTCTTTTTTTTTTTCCAGTTGCCTTTTTAGTAATGTTATGTCTCCCTTCTGATCTTCTCCATTTCAGTTTGTGCTCCTTTTTTGGTTTCTATTTCTACTGAATGAAGTTCCTGGTGTTGCCCGTAGAAAACAAAACAGCAACGTGGGACTTCGGGTTTACACCAGCAACAGATATTGAAAGATACTCCTAGCATATGTCACCAGACATGTGAGCAGCACTTTCCAATTAAAACTCTAGAAATTTCTACTGGTTGCTTAAAAACCCCACAAAACACTGAACTGTAGACTTGAATCCATTAACACCCATCATGGAAAAATGATACCGCTGTTTGTATGGCAGTCATTTCATTTAGATTTAGTTTCATAAGATAAAATAAGCTCAACTGTTGGGGGAAAAAACATCTTGAGCATTTTATAAATATCTTCAAAGCCTGGAACAATCACGAGGCAAGTTTAAACTAATTTTCTGTGATCAGAACCGGAAGTTGTCCAAAATAACTTTCCTTATTGTTTACGCTACAGCTGCATAGACCCCTGTAAATTAAATTAAGAAACAATTCAAGGCATTTTTGACTTAACCTAGTGGTTAAATGGTAATCAGCAGCTGGTGATTAAAACATACATATGATTCAAATCACAGATTCAATGTCAGCATTTACCTTCCACTATTCTCATTAGCTGAGCACTTTATTTAATTGGTGCTCTAGTACAATGGTTATTAATTGGCCATTGACCCGTTAGGTTTGCAGGCAGCCTGGCAACACCTCTGTATCTTCTCTGTAGGCTGCCCAGGTTTTACTTGTTACCCCTCTCCAAGGGTCTTCTGTTGCCCGGAGTAGCTTTTGCTGTCCCCACAGCAAGTGGGTAGGGTGGTCCTCTGCCACCGTAACACCTGCAGCTCTGCCAATGCTCCAGGCTGGTGGGGATGCAGCCTCAGGGAGGAGGGCAGGAGCAGAGTGGGTGCTTGGTGGGGACAGCCACTGGCTTGACTTTTTCTGCTCCCCCTGGGAGTGCCTGATCATCAGCACGTCTCCTGCAAGGGCTTTCTTTTCTTGATGTTTTGGTTTTGGAAGCTGCTGGAGGGAGTGGATTTAACTGGAGATAGGTGGCCACACAACAGTCTGGGTAGTTCTTTTTTACCTGCGGTTTGGCTTGCTGCCTTAAATAACCCCATCTGATGGGTATATTTGTTTATTCCAACAGCCTGTGGCTGGTGTACTTTTGTGTCAGGGTGGCCTTACACCCAGTCATGAGTTTGCTTGTCTGCTTCATGGAGGCACAAAACAGTGAGTCTACATGCTCTTGTCTTGGGAACCTTCTTATATAATGCTGCAACTGCATTACTCCATATTAAGCAATTGTTTTCTTCTTTGGGACTGATGGCTCTTAAGCACATAGCACCTGCACAATAATAACCACTGGGTTTTGCAGGCAAAAGAAATCATTCTGCTATCAACAGAGATGTTACAAAATGTTTCTGTGTTTGTACAACAGTTTTCCAATATTGACTCAGCTGTTTCCCATTTATTTTTAAAATACCGCATGGGTCCAGTCCTCCTTATAAACCTAATTTTAAAGATCGTTGGAGAAAGAGCAACAAGACTAAGAAAGATGAAGCCTGGAGACTCCTGAGTGCCAAGTTTTAGCCTGAAGTCATTTTAGCATCAAGTGAAAGAGGAACGAAAAGAAGTGTTAATAATTGTAAAGAGCATGCTGCAGGCTCATTCCAGTCTGCGTGCCGAAGCCTTACATGGGATTTTGCATGGAGAGAACAACTCCTTTGTTCTCGGGAAACTCCCCCATACAGCACTGCGTGGCAGGGTAACCTGTTAGCATTCTCCAGATGGCACGAAGACCTGTCTTCTTCCTGCTCAACTTTAAACAGAGACACCTACTTTCACAGTGTGCTTGTCCAAGGTTTTTTTTGTAAAGTGACGGAAGAGAGAGGATATGCTAAAGAGGCACCTCCAGAGAGCAGGTCCATCTTTGATAAGATGATTCCCTCAGTGTATCCGTCAGACCTCCATCAGCTATCCTGGCAGCCCATGGAGACCTGCTCTTGACTTTTAGGCCTGGTCACGGGGGTTAATGGGTTGACTCACAAATGCCACATAGCTGAGTCATGGAAATTGAGCAGAAAACGTGGGCTTACATGGATCACGTCTGCCTCCTCCCTTAGTTCCTGAAGCCAGTACCACTCTCAGGAAGGTATGACAACCAAAGCATGTGCTGCTATTGCTCTGAGGCTGCTGCAGCAAGGGTGAAGGACTAACGACCATCACATCTCCTTTCTCTGCCAGGATGGGTATAGTTGGGCTGAGCCCGAGAGAAGGGCTACTAGAGTTGCTTCTGTTGTTATGTGGTGCTGGAAGACAAGCACTGTGTCACCTGCTTCAGCTTCCTGTGTTGCTTATAGAAATGCTTAAATTACCACGTTAAATAGATAAATTACCTGTGAGGCATGCAAAACCAAGAGCTAACAGGTGTTCACTATGTCTTCCACATTTGTTAATTCTTGCTGGGCACCTCTGGTTAACCTTGGTGAGGAGGTTTCACCAAACACAAAGATGCTGCTGTGTGGGAACAGGTTCACTGGCTTCTGTGAATGAGCTCACATTTATGTTGATATTCTGTACCCTGTAGTCATAAGCTTTTGGTGAGCGGGTGGTTGCACGTAGGAGCTGCTTTTGGCTAACAAGGCACCAAGACAATGGTGCTTGAACATAGTGAGCTTTAGTCCCTCATATGGATGGCTGATGATGTGAGCCTCTGTAGAAACAGGTTCTGCTCCAGGCATCCTCAGCAGCTCCGACTGAGAAAGCGGAAATCTGAAGCTGCGTTCCCCACTTGATTTTTGAGTTCCT